TCTCACTATGTTTCTTACATTATTTAGCCCTTTGTACTTTTACCATCACACACAGTTAGTCAAGTATCGCTAATCGTTACCTTTTACACTCTTCCACTTCCCCTATCACTATCCCCCCCCCCACCTCCCACTATTCTTTTTATTTAATTTTTCTGATTTTAGTGCCACCTTATTTTAAACTATTTTCCATTTTCTTCTTTCTCTTCTATTTACTCTTCCACTTCCCCTATATCACTATCCTCCCCCCTCCCCACTATTCTTTTTATTTAATTTTTTTTAATTTTAGTGACACTTATTATTAATTTTTTCCAATTTTCTCCTTTCTCTTCTACTTCCCCCCCTACCACTAACCCCACCACTTCTCTCTCTACTTTTTTTTTATTTTTAGTGACAATTATTTCTAATTTTAAATTATCCTTAATTTTTATTAATTTTTTTCCTTCTTTACGAAATTTTCAAAAACAAATTGCGAGGAGCTAAGAATAAATTATTATCTTACCAAACTAGCAAAAAATTGTAAAAAAAAAAGAAAAGAAATAAATTTCGAGGTAAAATCAATTTTACACACTCGAGTAATTAACGCTTCCGCGCCCCCCTTCCCCATCCCTTCGACCCCTATCCATTAAACTCCCTTTCCCTTTTTCACTATAGTCTCGAGTTCAACGATACGAAAACAAAAAATATGTAAACGAAATCTGGGAAAAAGTAACGAGAGAGACAGAAAAGGAAAAAGTCAGTCAGAGAGAGAGAGAGGGGTAGAAGGGGGGGGGGGGTAGAATGGAAGTAAAGTGGAGTTGGGAAAAAATTAAAAAGCGAGAAACAATATTTAGCATGACTACTATTTTTTTTTTTTTTTCTAACCAGAATGTTTATTTTTTCTCTTGTTTTTTTTTAGTGAAACGCAAACACCACTTGTGAGAAAGAAAAAAAAAGGCGTAGAGAGGGAGTAGAACTGTGGAGTTTATTGACAGAATAATTTTCGAATGAAATTTCTGTAGTTAAAAAAATTACAGATAAAAGCTTTCTCCCCACCCTTTTTTTCAAAATAAAAATTTTTCAAATAGCAAAAAAGAGGATAAATTTTAATTTAAAAAGAAAAAAAATTTACGAATTTCAAAACAAAAATTAAAATAATTCAAGTTTCTCTCTTTACTTTTTTTCTCAAAAATTTTTCCAAAGACAATAAAATAGAAAGGAGATAAATTGTAGATTAAATATTAACGCAGTGGAAAAAAATAAGACTAGAACTAATTCCCCCCCCCCACTTTTTATTCTCATTATTTTTTTTTGGACCAATAGAAAGAAATACTTTTCAAAAAAAAAAAGTATAGGGACAGTAGGGGGTGGGAAACAATTCAAAAAAAAAAAAATTTCGAAGAGAAAAAAATAGAAGGGTGAAGGAAAGAGGGTTAAGAGGGGGGCGGGAGAGAAATTTCCACAGTGGAAAAATTTAAGACAGGAAAAAAAGGAGAGAGGGGGGAAAGACTTTGAAAAAATATTTCAAAGTAGTGGAAAAATTTTTTAAACAAAAATAGGAAGATGAAAATAAAGAATTAAAAAATGGGGGGGGAGAAAAAAAAGAACAATCGGGAAGAATGCGAAAAAATTTTTTAGAGAAAAAGAAAGGGTCCAGGAGGGTAAATGAATAGAAGAAGGAGAAAGAGGAAAAAGAGAAAAGAGAAAGAAATACAAAGAAAAAGAGAAGAAAATATGGAGAAAGAAAGGGAGAGAGAGAGAGAGAGAAGAAAGAAAAAAATAGAAAGAAAGAGAAAAAAAATAAGCAGGAAGAGAGAGAGAGAGAGAAAATAGAAAGAAAAAGAGAAGAAAATAAGAAGGGAGAAAGTAAGAAAGAGAAAGGGAGGAAGAAATATAAAAAAGAAAAGAAAATAAGAAGAAAGAAGGTGAGAGAGAGGAAAGAAAAAAATAGAAAGCAAGAGAAAAAAATAAGAAGGGAGAGAGAGAGAAAATAGAAAGAAAAAGAGAAGAAAATAAGGAGAGATGGAGAGAGAGGAGAAAATATAAAAAAGAAAAGAGAAGGAGAGAGGGAGAAAAAAATAAAAAAGGAGAGAGAAGGAGAGAGAAGGAAGAAAAAATATAAGAAAAGAGAAAAGAAAAAAAAGGAGGGAAGAAGAAAAAAACAGGGGGGGGGTGATTTTTAAAAAAGAGACAAGAAAGAAGGATGGGGAAAGAGAACGAAAAGAGGAGGAGGGGGATTTTAAAAAATAGAGAGGGAGAGAAAATAAAGATAGAAAAATAAGAAAAAGAGGGTGAGAAACAAGGGGAGAGAAAAAGGGAAGAAGAAAAAGAGAAAAAAGAGAGAAAAAAAGAAAGAAGGGGGGAAGGAGAGAAAGAGAGAGAGAGAGACCAACGAAAATTTTCAAGTGGTGCTTAAACTACCAGGAATCTGCGACTCTCCCATCGACTCTCCTTCTCTCTCTCTCTCTCTGTCGAGTGGACCAAAACCATCGAGAATGCGACTCACGAGCGAGTTTTATGATTTAATGCAACGTGCTTGGGACTGGTTCGCAATGGTACCGTTGCGAATCCTTATATATATTTTTTGCCAACATCCTCGTGAACGCTGACCATACACAGAACTTGTATTTCTCATGAAAACGTTCTTTTCATTTTTACCCCCTTCTCCTCCTCCTCCTCCTCCTCCTTCTTCTTCTTCTTCCTCTATATCCTTTGAAGCATTCAACAAAGTCTCAATGCACCCAACCAATTATTGAGTTAGAGAAAGGAACATGATCTCAAAAAAAAAAAAAATAAAGAAAAAAAACTATCTATTAATTATGAGAAGAAAGAAGAAAGAACAAGAAGAGATAAGGAAGTATAACCATTGGGGAATTTAATATTTTACTTGTAATAAAAAATTTATAGTGAAAAATTTAAAAAAAGAAGATTTGTCGTGGAGTTTATGTCGAATGGAAAAAAAGAACCATTTGCTGTGTTTTGAGAATAAAAGAAATTTTGGAGTGAAATATTGAAAATTAGTCGGTAAACTTACAGTCGAAAAAGTGAGGTATAGATGACGCTAAAAGACGAAAAAATTGATTTTTTAATACGAAAAAGACGCTACAATGTCTATCAAGTTGTCAGACTTTGAATAAAGTTTCATTTTGATAGAAAAAAAATTTTATAGTCTCGAGACACAGTCGAAAATAGTCCAGACGACGCTAAAAGTTGAGAAAATTGATCAAGTGACGCTAAAGGTCAGAAAATTGATTTTTTAACGCAAAAAAGACGCTAAGAAAGTATCAAGTTGGCAGACGTTCAATAAAGATCCATTTTGATAGAAAAAAATTTTATAGCCGCGAAACACACAAGGAAATAATCAACAGGACGCTAAACGTCGGGAAAATTGTTAAAGTGACGCTAAAAGTCAGAAAAACTAATTTTTTAGCTGTAAAAAGACGCTGGAAATTTGTTATCTAGTCTCTAGTCATCAGAAAAGATTCTTTTTGTTAAGAAAAGTACTCTCTAATATCGTGAGACCTTTAAAAATATTCCACAGAACGCTAAAGACGCTAAAAGTCGAAAAATTCATTTTTGACGCAAAAAAAGAACGCTTAAAATTTTTATTTAGTTTCCAGACATAGAGAAAGATTTTCTGCGAGGAACAGTATTTTCTGTTAACAAGGAAATAATGTACAAAACACTAAGAAAGTTGAAAAAGTTACGCTAAAAGTCAGAAAAATTTGAATTGTAACAAAAAAAGACGCTAAAAAATTTGTTTAAGTTTCTAGGCGTATAAAATAGTTTCTATTTTGTTAGAAAACATTCCTTATGGTAGCACAAGATTCTGGAAAATAATCCACTAGACGATAAACGTCAAGAAAATTGATGAAGTGACGCTAAAAGTCGGAAAATTTTTTTTTTGAATCGAAAAAAGACGCTGAAAAATTTAATCAAGTTTCTAGATGTCGAAAAAAGTCGCATTTTGTTAAAAAACATTCTTTATTGCAGCTTGAGATATTAGAAAATAATGTACAGGACGCTAAACTTCGAGAAAATTGATAAAGCGATGCTAAAAGTCGGAAAATTCTTTTTTGAAATGAAAAAGACGCTAAAAATTTTGTCAAGTTTCTGTATATACCTTAAAAAATTCTATTTTGTCAAAAAAAAAATTAAATATAATTTACAGAACGCTAAAAGTCAGAAAAAAGTATAAAGTGACGCTAAAAATCGGAAAATTTACTATTGATGCGAACAAAGAAAGCTAAAAACTTGTACAATGTCACCAGTAGTCAGAAAAATTTGTTTTGTTTACAAAAATATTTTTTCGATAACGTGAGACACTAGGAAAAAATCTATGAAACTCTAGACACTAAGAACAGTCAAATAAAGACGCTAAAAGGTCGGAAATTTTATTTTAGAAATTAAGAAAAATCAGAAAAAAGTATGCCAAGTTGCTAAACATTCAAAAGAGATCAATTTTCTCAAAAAAATGTTTTTTATAACACTGGCAAACAAATAAAAATTATTTAGCGTCCTCAGACGCTATTTTTGAATTAACTGGTCGATTAGTAGCAAAATATCGTAAAAGAAAAGAGGAAAAAATATTTCCCGAAGAAGAGAATAATTTTGGTTTATTTAGCGACACCTAAAAATTGCAAAAACAAAATTTAGCGTTCCCAGACGCTATTTTTAGCGTCAAATATACCACCAAAATATCGTTAAAATCCCCGAAAAAAATATTTCTCCTACAAGCTAATAATTCTCATTAATAATTCTCCCACTGAAGTATATTAAATTATCACAAGAAAAAAAAATTTAATTTCTTAAACATTTCATAGTGAATTTATTTTACAAAAACAAAAAAAGAAAAAAAAACATGTTAATCACTAAAACTCTGTGTGGGTTCCACACACAATTGTCCACGAGGTGGAAGTTTACAAGAAAAAAATAAATAAATACAACAACTACTATTGTTTCTCCTTTTGTATAATATCGCAATTTCGTGAATTTATAATGCAAATAAAAAGGTGGGTACTTACGCCGGGTGTGCTCGCTTGTGGTCCGTAGGGGTAACGTGTCCATTCCAAGCTCTCCTCCGTCGTTGTGTCCAAGAGAACGACTGTAAGCAGAAAAATAAAAGGCACTCATGAAGATAAAAATGACTTTTAATGAGTGGTTTTGCAAAAAATAATAAAGTAAAAAAAAACAACAGAAACCAAAAAAAAAAAAAAACCGAAAATAAAAAAGGAAACTTTGTCACAGCAAGAGGGCAATTTAATGACTGCTTGACCTTTATTCAACCTCTGAAAATTATTCACTATTGTCTCGGAATATAAATTCTAGAACTTAATATAAATGCGACTTTGTAGTTAATATTTTTAGATTTTATTTTTTTTTTCTCGTCGCACGTGCACTGGTCGAAATTTTTGAAATTAAGTGACGAAAAATGTCGATCCAGTGGTTGTAATGAGTTCAATTATTTAAGGCGCGTGCGCGGAGGAATTACGCATGCGCAGTAACACTGTAGGCAGTATTTCGATGCGCAGAATGACTCTAGGTAGTATTAGGCTGCGCAGTAAATTTCTAAGAAATATTTGGCTGCGCAGAATAACTCTAAGTAGCGTTAAAATGCGCAGTAATGCCCTAAGAAATAATAAACTGTGCAGTATAACTCTACATAACGTTTTACTGCACACTAACACTAAATACTGCGCAGAATGATTCTAAGTAGCGTTACAATGCGCAGTAACGCTCTATGTAATATTTGTCTGCGCAGAATAACTTTATAGCGTTATACTGCGCAGTAATATGGTATAAAATATTTTACAGTGACATATAATTAATCTTTATAGCGTTGTACTGCGCAGTAACAATGTAAACAATATTAAGCTGAGCAGATCTACGTTAATTAATATTTCACTGCGCAGTAACGCTGTACACAATAGTTAAATGCGCAGAATATTTCTAGATAGTATTATGCTGCGCAAAAACGATATTAGGGTGAGAAGAAACAATATTTTGTAGTTTAGCGGTATCTTAACTAATATTAGGCTGCGCAGTAAGACTGCATAGAATATTAAAATGCGCAGTAAGAGTGAAATAGTTGTTTAACTGCGCAGAAACAACTTTTGACAGCTCAGTGATATTATTATCAAGTTTACGCTGCGCAGTATTACAATTTGCAATATTTGGCTGCGCAGAAACGCTTTTTAACTGCTTAGTGTCATTTTTAACAATTATACGCTGCGCAGTAGTAAAATATGGGACATTTGGCTGCGCAGAAACAGTTTTTTGCTGTCTAATCACTTTCTTAACAATGTTAGGCTGCGCAGTAGTACAATTTGCAATATTTGGCTGCGCAAAAACGCTTTTTAGCTGCTTAGTGACATTTTTAACAATTTTACGCTGCGCAGTAGTACAATATGCGATATTTGGCTGCGCAGAAGCAGTTTTTTGTTGCCTAATGACATTCCTAGCAATGTAAGGCTGCGCAGTAGTACAATTTGCAATATTTGGCTGCGCAGAAACACTTTTTCGTTACTCACTGACATTTCTAACAATATAACGCTGCGCAGTAACCATATTCTCAATATTCTTCTGCGCAAAATCATTTTTTAGCTCCAAGCAAGTGTAATAAATATATTTTCAACCAGAAGAAATGAAATAAATCGTATGTAGGAAACATAATAATAGTCACAATATTCATTGTGTCATGTTTCTAGTGGGGGGAGAGAGAGGAAAAGAAGAATTCATCACAAACTGCGCCACGCGTTTCCTTTCAAAATGGCTGTTCGGCACGTCCTCGAGACCCAACGCACTGCACCTTTGCCACGGGAAATTGAGCGAGAAGGAAGAAATTATTGCCTAAAGGCGAAGTGAGAGAAAGAGAGAGGGAGAAACAAGTGGAGAAAGCTAACGAACCTTCGAGAGACCTACTCGTTTTGCAGCAAACACTCTAAACCGATTCACACTTCTAATTAGACTTTACACTCCTAATTAACATTAAATCGAAAAATTAGCTAAAAATCATACAAAAAAAAAATAAAAACCAAAAATTCTTTTTTTCTAACACCTCGCGAAAATGTAAAAAATATATTAGGTCAAAATATTTCCAAAGAGATATTTTTACGCAAACCTAAAAGCAAAAAAAAAAATTTTTTTTTCTTTCTCCCCTCTTTCATTTCGATGGGGGGCTGGAAAAATTAATATTAATTTGTATCTGTGTTAATTTGATTTCCTTTGGAAATTATGAGTCTAGACGGTCGGAGTAGAGGTTTTTGCTGGGACCTGTACAACGAAGGGAGAAATTGCACATGTACTTTGGTGTGTACGCAATGTAGGAAAGCAGAACTACGTACTAAGTACAGTCGTGAGTGTGTGTATGTCTGTGTTTGGTATCGACCGGGACGCGACCACTACTCCCCCTCCTCTCTCTCTCACTCACTCACTCTCCTCCCACCTTTCCCACCTCTTTACCACCCTATGTTTGCTACCTCAAAAACTTCATCCTGCCACCATCAACTAACCGACCACAGAGACGCCCCCTTTTTTCTCAATTCCTTCATATCAATAAAATTTAAATATAAAAAAAATAATATACAATAAAAAAATAAAATTTATATAAATGTAAACAAAAAAAAATAATACTAATTAGTAGAATTAAAAAACTATGAAATTTATTTGAGAAATAAATAAAATTGCCCTAAGGCAATAATGGACACATTATTACCCTAGTGCAATAAAGTTCCCATTATTGCCCTAGGGCAATAATGGTCACTTTATTGCTCTAAGGTAATAATGATCACTTTATTGCTCTAGGGTTATAATGGGCGCTTTATTGCTCTAGGGCAATAAAAGAAACTTTTTTCTCTAGTGCAATAAAGTTTCCATCATTGCCCTAGGGTAATAATAGTCCCTTGGTTGCTCTAGGGTAATAATGGGCGCTTTATTGCTCTAGGGCAATAATAGTCACTTTTTTCTCTAGGGTAATAAAGTGCCCATTATTACCCTAGGGCAATAATAGCCACTAGGAAATTAAAAATAGTAAAAACAATAGTAAAAAATAGTATAAAAAATAGTTAAAAATAGTATAAAAAAAGTATTAAAAAATAGGAAAATAAAAATGAAAACAGAATGTAAGGAAATGAAGATGGAAAATTTATATTTAAAAAATGTGAGAAATTTCGTGTTAAAGGTGAAAAATAATAATTTGTGTTTAAAATGAAGAAAAAAAGGACTTTTTGATATTGTTTATATATATATATATAGCGGTCGACCTGGAATTTCACTGTAACGGTGTGATGGTGATGGTAGCGGCAGCGGCAATTAAAATAGGCGTCTTCTTTTCTCTTCAATCGTTTCGCGAAGCTGGACCACGAAAAACAGTTATCTTAACGGCCTGCACGAAATGCGATACCACAAACAATGTGAATCTTTTTCCCTCACTAATGATTATTATTAACATTCTCTTTGTTTGTTCACAAATATTTCTCTCTCTCTCTCTCTCTCTCTCTCTCTCTCTCTCTTTCTCTCTTCTTTTTTCTTTTGATTGAAATTTTCAGTTAACTTTAATTTGCTATTTACTCAGTTAATTGTGATTAAGACAAATTGTGCTTCGTTAAAAAATATTTCCCTCTCGCTTTTTTTATCTTTCTTTCGCCCTGGTGTTCGTACTATTGACGCTAAAAACGCTAAATTAGTGTCGCTAAACTAAAAAGGCAAAAGTTAGGGTCAACTGAAGTAAAATTGTTCCAACTGCGTTTAAAATTCGAAGGAACGAAAAAGACGCTAAAAATTTTGTTTTCCTTCGCTCTCTTTAGCGTCTGAACGCTTCACGCTGAAAACGCTATAACAACGCTAAACTGAAAAGGCAAAAATAGCGTCAACTGGATAAAAATGGTTCTAACTGTGTCTAAGATTCAAAAAAACGAAAAAGACGCTAACAATAGTGATGCTAAACAGAAAATAAAAAAGCTTCAACAGACACGTGAAATATTGTTGAAACTGCGATTAAAATCCGAAGAAACAAAAAAGACGAGCAAAAATATTAAGCAATAAAAATTATTAATAATTAATTAAACGCTAGAATAATAATTATTCCACCGCGTTAGATAATACAATACAAATGTTTAAGCGTCGATACTTAATTAAAGGATTATTTTTGTCTCATTAAGTTAGAAAAAATTCAGTAGAAAAAAGTGATTTTGTAAGAATACAAAAAAAGTTTACTATGAATCTTAAAAAAACTAAACGCTGAAATATTAGCGTCAAGCGTAATCGAAGACTTTTTGAATTAAACGGAAAAGATTGTATAAAGATAGGATAAACTACCAAATAGTGAAAAATAATGAAATCAAAAATACTTGACTATTTAAAAAAAAAACGTCACTTAGTGTTACTAGACGCTAATTTCAGTGACAGGCACAACAGCAGTATTTTTAATTTAACGGAAGAAATTTTAAGAACTTACGGTAATGTATCGAAGTACTAAAAAATAATAAAGAAAAAAATCACCATTTAGTGTGCCTGAACGCTAATATTAGCGTCGAGCTAAAAGTTTCAAATTTTAAGGTGAATAATTATGTATCAACTTACGGGAAAATAGTGAAATACTATAAAAAATACTCAAATAGTAAAGTAATTAAAAAAAAGGTAACTTAGCGGGTTCTGTCTAGACGCTAATTTTAGCGTCGAGATACAATTTTTCAATTTAAAGGTGAATAATTTTATAAACGTACGGAAAACACTGAAATAGTATAAAAAATACTCAAATACTAAAGTAACTAAACAAAAATTTACTTAACAGTTTTTACCTAGACGCTAATTTTAGCGTCGAGATACAATTTTTCAATTTGAAGGTGAATAATTTTATAAACGTACGGAAAACACTGAAATAGTGTAAAAAATACTCAAATACTAAAGTAACTAAAAAAACGTTACTTAACGGTTTTTGCCTGGACGCTAATTTTAGCGTCGAGCTACAATTTTTTAATTTAAAGGTGAAGAATTTTATAAACGTACGGAAAACACTGAAATAGTATAAAAAATACTCAAATACTAAAGTAACTGAAAAAACGTTACTTAACGGTTTTTACCTTGACGCTAATTTTAGCGTCGAGC